TGCGTTTTTTTTTAAAAAAAAGTTATCAAGCTCTTAAAAAATCACCCTTTATAAGCACCTACGATAGATACGTCTGCGTAACAAATTTCAGTTTCATATGACGTGGTTTTGAATTCTCCCAGCGTAAAATAGTTTTTGGAAATATCCCGACTCCAGCGCTTCCTATCGTGCGATTTTTTAGTCCAAATATTCCTTTTCAATTGACTAACTTATGTTCAAAATATGAGCCTAATCGGCAAGTAAATGCAACTTTTAGGAATATCCGGACCCCAGCTCCACCTAGCGAGCAAATTTTGGGTAGAAATATTTCTTCTTAAGGTACTGATATATGTTTTAAATACGAACCAAATCGGTTCAGCCGTTAAGGAGTTTAGTGACATTTAATGTACAGTAAGCTATGAAATTGTGAAATCGTGTCGTTTCAGCATTCTTCATTTTTCGGCAACAACAACAAAAAGTTTAAAATATTTTTAAATCAAAAAACCTTCCACACAGAAGGTCCAAAAAAGTACTTTTTACAGAATTGTAATCGGTTCAGCCGTTTGGTCAGGCATCGCCGTCATACGGAAAAAATTTCGTTTTTATATATATAGACTAGCTGACCCGGCGAACCTCGTACCGCCTCAGAATCAATAAATGTTATTGTAACTTATTAGGTGAATAAACAGTTTTTTTTAACGGTAAAATGAAAAAGAACTCACAATGAATTAAGTGTAATAAATGTACAAAAAACCAGAATTGGTGGATAGGTTGGTTGCACTCTAGTCGATTTATTTAAGCACATTATTATACACGACATTTTTCGTTTTGTTGTCAGGTGCGAAAACGAACAAAGCGGATGATTTTCCGACACGTGAACATGCCACGTAAAGTTGACCGTGAGAGAAACAGCCTTTTTCAGGATTCGGGCCACAAACACTCAAAGATTGACCTTGTGATTCGTTGATCGTCATGGCGAATGCAAGACGAATCGGAAATTGAATTCGTTTAAACTCGAATAGTGTATCGGTTGGGATCATCGGGATTCTCGGAATGAGAACTTCCTCACCTTCGAACTTTCCTTTAAGTATCGTCGCATGAATGACATTGTCCATGAGTTTTCTCACCAACAAACGCGTTCCGTTACATAGTCTTGGTTGGTTAAGATTTCGAAGCATGATAATTACGGAGCCAACCTTCAATTGTAAATTGTACGGTGGTAAGCCTGGCAGATCCAATGAGTTTAAGAATTCAGTTGGATAGTTGGTTGCTTCGTCTTCATTTGTCATACAGTCTATAGATTTGAAGGAATGAAGTGGACCAATGATTTGATTTTGAATTGTGATATTTAAGTGGTCTACATCGTTGTTCTGTGCCGCAAGAATTGCTCGTTCACTCAACCAATTGTGATATTTGTGGCTAGCAATTATATTCGGGAACACATTGTTGATGAGCTCGTCCGTTGTTGAAACGAAGTTGCAAAAATTCGGTGGAAAGGAAACCAATCCGTCCTTGAAATGTGGTGTTCCCCAAGGATCTATCTTAGGTCCTTTGC